GGAGTGGCAGCTGCTAGTCAAGTGCAAAAATACTGCAAACACGGAAACCGAATTCGTGCCGGTTGTCAAACTTCCCCTAGTCTTACTACTCCCAGCAAGATGACTATACCTACCATTGTGAGTAACAATGTCCGTTCTGTGTTTGGGAAGCTTCCGCACCTATCTTACCTGCTTCAGCGAAAGGAATTTGGCACCTCTTGTGTCTTATGTCTTCAGGAGTCATGAATCCANNNGACGATTCCTTGGTCCAACTGGGGAATTTCGTCTGCTTCACACAGGATAGACAACGGTGTAGGAAGAACTTGGGAGGCGGTGTGATTACTTACATCAATTTCAATTGGTACGGAAAGTCCGAAGTACTTTTTAAGTATCCAAAGAATGGCGTTGATTGCTTGACTGTCGTCTGCCACCCCAAATTCTATCGCTTTCCTTTTATCGCCATAACTAATTTATACATTGCATCCCATTGCAGATTGTCAGACATTGACACATTTTATGATAATTTCCTACCGGCTATTGCCCCATCTCTGGCTGACAGCTTGCATTTAATAGCTGGTGACTTCAACCACGCCACCCTGCACCCTTTATTGTGTCTAAACCTCAGTGACCTGATTATTGAACCAACTAGAGAAAACTATCATCTAGATCACATAATAAGACGGTTGGACGCCCTTTATGCAAGTCAGTTTTGGGGACCAGGNAATGATGGTAAAAACTGAATCCTACATTTATTCATTCTCCGTCCGACACATACCCCAGTTATGTTGATTACAGTTCTCCAAACGTCCAACCTTCTTTTGATTCCATCACCTCTAGTGAGGTGTACAAATNACTGCACCTGGTCCAGACAACCCAAGTCCCACCCTTCTTGAACACAGTGCTGTCACTGTCTCAGACGTTTGCGCACAGCTAATATTTAACTCGAACTTCGAATTATTCCGGATTACTGGCACCCGGTGAGAATTACTCCCGTCCCCAAAGGTACATTGAAATCCCCAATAGTGAAGTGTTTCAGACTAATTGCTCTCATTTCCACTGGTTTAAAATTGAAGAAGCAATCAGTTTCGCACCATCTTCAGTTACCCCTTAACACCCCCGACGACAATTATCAGTTTGCATACAAACATAACCGCTCTACATTAGATGCCGTTTCTTCTCTAGTTCATTTCATCTGTGCGTCCCTTAACGAGAAAGCCAAATATGTACATTGTGCGTTTCTGTACTATTCTTCCGCTTTTGACTCGATGCTCCGTTATCTTTTACTAAACAAGCTCCAATCTTTTGACTGTGGCGCTTCTCTTCTTGAATGGCTTACTGATTACTTTTCGTAGAGATATCAATATGCTAAATTCGGAAGAAAACAGTCAACCGCATCACTCAATAGCTGGGTTGTACTTCAATGTGCTGTCCTATCACCCTATCTTTTTTCGACTTATATCAGTGACTTACCTGTTACTCCCTTTGTTCAACATTTTACTATGCTGATGATATCGCCATTTCTGTTTCCTTATCTAACCAATCAGAACTGGTTGAGTATAACATAAACTTATCCAACCTCGTTTCATATTTCACTTTCTCCGGTCTTAATCTTAATCCTGAAAAATCCCTTGAATGTATTTTTACTCTAAACCGTACCCCATCTCCTCCGACAATGTCCAGATTCACGGAAAGCCGATGAGCAGGGTCAGTCATGTGAAGTACTTAGGTGCCACACTTGAAAGTAACCTTCGCTGGTTTTTACATACCCAAAGTGTGGCTCGCGAGTTAAAAATTCTCCCTTTCCGGGTAAGAAGACTGCGCCACTTCTGTTCTGACTCGTCGGTGATAAACGCTTTCGTTCAAAAATGTGTCC